GGTTCTCTCCCCAGCTCTGGGAGGGGAGTGGGGGCTTGTTGATTACTCGGAAGCCTGGGTCCCATGGCTTGTCTCTCCCCCTCCCCCCCCCGGGAAGGTATTACCGCAACACCCACGGCGTCATCATCGTCTACGATGTGACGAACCCCGAATCCTTCGTCAACGTCAAGCGCTGGCTGCACGAGATTGGGCAGAACTGTGACAGCGTCTGCAAAGTGCTGGGTGAGTCTGGGGTCCCCTGCAGCCCCCCAGCACTGCCCTCCCCTAGGGGATCTGTCCCTTGCCCCCCTTCCCCCTACCCCTGGGGACTCTGGGTTAACCCTTGGGGGCCCAGACCCCCGTGTCTGACCCACCCCGCCTTCCCCACAGTGGGGAACAAGTGTGAGGACCTGTCCCGGAAGCAGGTGGAGACGGCTGACGCCCGGCGCTTCAGCGAGCAGATGGGGGTGCGGCTCTTCGAGACCAGCGCCAAGGAGAACCTCAACGTTGAGGAGGTACCGGCACTGCTGTGGGGAAGCTCGCAGCACAGGCGGGGAGGGAGAATCCAGCCTGGGGGCACTGCTGAGGGGAAGCTCACGGCACGGTGTGGTCTCGGGATGGGGGAGAGGTACGGGAACAGTCCATGGCTGCGACTCTGTTGCCAGGAAGCTCCCAGCACCATGCCGGGAAGGGGGGGGGGGGGGGGGCTGCCAGGAAGTTGGCCTTGGCCTGGCACAGCTGTGAGGAAGTTTACAGCCCTGTAGGGCGTCGGGAGGGAAGCTGGCAGGGCACTGCTGTAGGGAAGCTCGCAGCAGTGGGTGGGTGGCGGGGGAGTTGCCAGGAAGCTCCCAGCACCATGGGGCGAGGGGAGGAGGAGAGGCTGCGGGGAAGCTCGCGGCGCCGGGATGGGGCCAGGGGCACCGCTGTGGGGAAGCTCGCGGTGCCGGGATGGGGCCGGGGGCACCGCTGCGGGGAAGCTCGTGGCGCTGGGATGGGGCCGGGGGCACCGCTGCGGGGAAGCTTGCGGCGCCGGGGGCAGGATGGGGCCGGGGGCACCGCTGCGGGGAAGCTCGCGGCGCCGGGGGCGGGATGGGGCCGGGGGCATCGCTGCGGGGAAGCTCGCGGCGCCGGGGGCGGGATGGAGCTGGGGGCACCGCTGCGGGGAAGCTCGTGGTGCCGGGGGCGGGATTGGGCCGGGGGCACCGCTGCGGGGAAGCTCGCGGCGCTGGGGGCGGGATTGGGCCGGGGGCACCGCTGTGGGAAGCTCACCACCCTCTCGCCCGCCCCCCCAGATGTTCAACGCGGTGACAGCCATGGTACTGCGCACGAAGCAGGAGAACCTGGCGCGGCTGCAGCACCCCGAGGTGGTGAAGATCAACAGGCCCAAGAAGAAGCCCCCTGTCAAGAAATGCTGCTGAGGGGCTGGGGGCCCCCCGAAACATGGGGGGAGCTGAGCCCCTGCCCCCACCCCCCGGGGCAGGATGGACCTTGTGTATATGGGGGGGGGGGTATCTGCTTCCCCCCGGCCTGGGGGCGGGGGCTGGAGTGGGGGAGCGTGGGGGGCGCTGGAGCTTGGGGGGCTGGCGGGGGGGGGGTTTGGTGGAAGGAACAGAGAAGGGGGGAGGGGGGAGGCGACTGTTCCCCCCGGGGGGGGGGCCTGGGCCCCCCAATTTTTCCCCCTGCCCCCCAATCTGCCCTGGGCCCCCCGTCCCTATCCCTCCACCCCACTGTGAAAGGGAAGATGCCACTTCCTGCCCCCTGCACTTTGGGGTGCACATGCCTCCCGAACTCATCCTACAACTCTGGAGTGGGGGAACACGTGGGGGTTCCTGCTCCGCCCCTCCTGTGCCCCCATTTGTTTGGGGATGGCTCCCTGCTCCAGCTCTCCATTCTCCCCCAGGGGCCCCCAAATGTTCTCCAGCGGGGGCCCCCCCAAAGTGCCCCTCTGCACTATGCAATGCAATCCAACCCTCCTGAGCACTGGAAAGGCAGCACCTAGGAACTGGGGGTGCAGCGAGCCCCCTGTACTCTCTCCTTGCCCCCCACGCTCTGGGAGCAGCCAGGGATACGGCCCCCTCACTGGGAACAAGATGGAGCCCCCCCCTCTGGGATCAAATCTGGGGTTTGCTGCCCGGCTCTGAGCTCCTGCCCCACTAGGAACGGGATGGGGGCTCAGCAGTGGGGGGCAGCCCCTGCACGGGCAGCAAAAGGAGGCAGCTCACGAGTGGGGTGCAGCCCTGGGCCCCCTCCTGGGGGGCATAAGGGGAGCTCGGAAGTGGGGTTCACCCCAGCACTGGAACTGGGGGCACGGCTGGGGGGTGGGGTTGGCCCCCCAATAACTGTGCAATAATCCGGCCATGCCCCGCGGGGGCCGAACTGACACTAACTCCGCCCCAGCCGCTGCCACGGAGACCGTTTTTCTTCAATAAAGACAATTTAGGTATGAAAAGACGCCTGATTGCGCAGCCCGGACGCCTGGGTTCTCTCCCTAGCTTGTGGGAGTGAGGTCTAGTGGGATGAGGCTGAGAGCCGGGACTCCTGGGTTCTGTTCCTGGCTGTGAGTGCCTCGGTTTCCCCTACACTAGGCGGTTATGACTCTCGGGGGGCGGCGTGAGGCAGGAGGCCCCGGAACACCCTCCCCGTAACAGGAACCTGGTTAATTCAGATTAATTCCGTTTACACTTCGCCATTCTGCTTTGGACCAGACCTGCTCTGGGGGGGAGACCGTGGCCAGTGAGGGATCTGCAGGGAAACGGAAACCGGATTCAGCCGGAGGGCCTGGACCACTGTGGTGAGGAAGCTCACTGCGCCAGGGGGTGGATAGCGGGGGGGAGAGAACTCGCTGGTGGGGGGTGTCACTGAGGCAGGGCACAGTGCTGGGGGTGGGCCAGTGTGTGTGGAGTCTCTGGCTGGGGGCACCACTATAGGGAAGCTCACAGCAGCAGGGTGTGTCGTTACTGGCTGGGGGCACTGTTGGGGGAAGCTCATGGCGTTGCCGGGAGGGGGACTATTCCTGGCTGGGGGGGGGGGGTTGTAAACCCCTTTCGAGGGCCTCCCCTGCTTTGAACTCTCAGGCCGGGGAGAAACGCCGTCCCGCCCCGAGAACCGCCTGGGCCGGGAAATCTTCCAGGCTGAATGCAAACCAGGGGCGCCCGGTCCCTCCAGCACGGAGAGAGGGGACCCCCCAAAGTTCCCCCTCCCTGTGTGAGGGGCAGCCCCATAAACATTGCAGACCTTCCCAGCCTCAGGTCTCTTTCCTTTATTGACCCCCGGGCAGCGGGAGAGACACAAACACTTCAGTACAGTTCATTATGTGGCCACAGTGTCCCTGGGGGCACTGCTGTGGGGAAGCTCGCAGTGGCAGGGAGGCCCCAGCTGGGGGCACTGCTGTGGGGAAGCTTGCAGCGCTGGGGACAGGGTCTGTCCAGGGTGAGTCGTACCCAGCGTCTCTCCAGCGGGGACGGGGAACGGTCCCGCGTCACAGCTCCATCTCCTCCGGCCGTGCCCCCTGCCCCCGGCCTGGGGGGGCACTCAGGGGGCTGGGGGGCAGCATGAGGGTCCGGATGGAGTGGGGCACCCGGCTCCCCGGGGGGGTCCACAGCACCAGCTCCGCCGAGGGGCTCCTGGGGCAGGGGAAGGAGACAGAGGAGTTAGATAATGCGATCCCGTCCCCGCCCCCCTCCTGCCCCTCCGTGGGGCAATACTCACAGGTACTGCAGGGGGCCCGGCCCCACCAGGCCGAGGGGGGTGCAGTCGGCCATGCTGAACTCCCCCTCCAGCACCACGCTGCCCCCCTCAGTCTCCGCCCCACCGGCGTCCTCGCTCCCTCCAGCCAGGGGCAGCCTGGGGGAGAGAAACACACAGCGCTGAGATGCAGCCGCCTCTGGGGTGAGTCCCGCGTTCCCCCCCCGGCCCGATGCTTCCCCGCCCCTGCTCCCCTTGGTACGCCCCGGGTACCTCTGCTCCGGCTGCCGGCAGCGGGCGTAATCTTGCACCCACTGCGCCCAGGCAGGGTCGGGGGCCGGGCCCCGGGCGGGGAAGCTGTTGCCAGTGTAGGCGTGGTCGTTCTCCAAGCTCAGCGTGTTGAAGCGGGCCGCCATCTTCTCCTCCGACAGGAACTGCTTTGGGCCAGGCTGCCTGCAGCGGGCGGGGAGAGAATGGGGAGCTCCCAGAATGCACTGCACCCGGTCACGCCAACCTGGGGGGCTGCAGGGTGCCTGCTTGCCCTGAGACGGGGCTTCCCATCATGCATTGCGCACAGTCGTGCCAAGCCTTGGGCTCCTGAGCGTCCTTGTGACCAGTCCAGCCAAGCCGCAGAGCTCCCAGAAGCCATTGCAGCGCCTCATGCCAAGCCCGGGGTGTTACCTAGCAGCTGTGTTCTTGGGGAACCCGGGCGCGGTGCCCAGCCTGCCTGACTCCCAAGGGACCCCCGCCCCCAGCCTCTGCTGGAACCAAATCTGCATCAGAAAAAGACTTACAAAATGAACTGCTAAGGCCGTGGGAGACACCCCTAACCCTGGGATACGGGGGACAGGATTAAAGAAACTCCCCTGACCTCATGTGCATGGAAGACGGGCCAAGGAGATAGCGCCGGTAGCACACCGAATGGAGACCAGAGAGCCACAGGGAACTCTGGGAGCAGAAAGGCAGGGACGCACTGCATGCTGGGGGATCTCTGCGCCAGATGTTAATGAACCCACGCCTGCACACACGCAGCTCAGGAGTGATCAGAGCAATTCTAGTCATGAATCCTTGATTGGGATCCAAACGAGTGACGCTCCCGAATTGCACTGTGAGCTCCCCGGAAGGAACATCACCCTCAGCCAGGCATGAGCAGCTCCCGTTGTCGTGAACAAAACTTTGGGATCCTCCCTTGAGCTAGCAGTTTACCCATAAACAAATCTCGTGTTCTCCCTCGAACCATTCTTGTTTCTCTACAAAAACCCCCCTCCACCCTCCAGTCAGTGCTCTGATGCCTGGATCCAAACTGCCTCAGTTCCCCTGGGACTCCATCTTCTCCTGACTGATGGTGCTGGGGGCTCTGCCTGGTTCCAGCACTCCAGACCCTCCACTACCACCACC